GTCGTCGACTACTCGCGTTTATCCACAACCACAGCTCTGAGTCATGAAACGATAAAATAGCTTTAAAACATAAAATAGCTTTAAATAGCTCTATAAACATGACTGGGAAACAAACATCGAAATAGCTTAGAAATCCAGAATTTTATCTAATTATAATTTTAAATTTGACTCCATTTCTCGTAATCCAAATTCGACTACGCTTTTCCAAGTAAATTAAACTTTATTCGCTTTGCCAGTTTCATTTTTGCATAAACAATAATGCACCAAGAACATTAAACTGACAATAATAGAGATAAAATGCTAAAACAGCCTGAAATTCTCCAAATAATTATACCAACGTGAAAGTTACCTAATAAATTAAAAACTAATCCTAAAAGCGCCAAAAATAATCTACAATTTCAAAATGGTTATAATGCGAAAACCAATGACGGAAGAAAAGAAAATGAACTTAGAAATGCCATAACAGTACAAAATCGTCAAAACGCCAAAATAGATTAGAAGCTTCAAAAAGGCCTAAGCAACACAAAAATAGATAATAAAAATGTCAAATTCTTAACTTTGCTACTTCTTTACTTATAGTAAAAAAGGTGGATTTACTTTGAAATTTACAAAATCGGCAAAATATCCAACTACCGTCGAATCGGTTGTTATAGGCTTTTCACGCTTCTGTAGCGAGCCTTTTTAAAGGTCCGTTTAGACTAGATGATATCTTGGTCGGATTTTGACCACCGCCATATTGAAAAATCTGCTCGATTTTACTTTCGACACACTTTGTCAAACCTACCACTGCTTGCACATGTCGAAAGAACTGTCAATTTAGATTTCAAAACAAATCTGTATCAGGAATCAAAAGTAAATACTTCCATCATGAATTATCGGAAAATTGCTCTAGCTTGTGGAGTAGGAAATGGTTGTTCAGGAGGAACACCGGCTGGGATCTGGCTCATCTTGTCCTTCAAGAACGGCAATATGAAGATGAAAGAGCATTTTATAACTTCGCCAGGATGTCGATACCAACTTTCGACAAGCTAGTGGGAAAAGTTCTCTATAGATCTACATGATTCCTTGAGCTCTGAAAATTTCTGTTAAGAACTCAAATCTGCATATTTCTCTGAAGACCTTCGGACGTTCCTGAAGATTTGTGTCTGTTTTTTTGGTAAAATATCTTTATAGATCAACAAACTTTCCTTAATATCTGCAAATTTCTCGGTAGTTCTGCAGATTTCTTTGAAGTTCTGTGTGTTCTTCAGAAGTTTTGAAAATGTCTCTAAAAATCTACAAAGTTCCTCAATGCCTGCAGATTTAAGAAACATAAATTTCAACAATTATCTCTGATGTTCACTAAACTTCTAATAATCTACGATCTTCTTGAAAGTTCTGTAATTTTCTCTGAACATCTACACAATTCCCTTAAGTATTAAGAGTTTATCTAGAAATGTTTGAGCTTCCCGGAAGTTTTAGGAAGTTCTCTGAAGATTTACTATTTTTTCTGAAGTTGTGCTAATATCTCTTAAGATCAGCAAATCTCCCGGAGGTTCTGCAAATTTCTCTTAAATTCCACAAGAACCGCAATAAAATTCTGAAAATTTATTTAAACATCTGCAGCAGGGTTGTTTCCACTCACTTGCTATAAAAATATATTTTTCGGAATTATGAAATCATTAGATGATATAATGATATGTTGTACTTGTAAGTAACGAGAAGAGGGTGTAAAGTATGTGATTGACTCATAAAACCTGTCAATTTCGCTTTCAGAGCGTCACAATAAGCGATCTTATGATTCGTGAGCGTTCATTCAGAGTGAGCACTCACGAGTCGTAAAATCGCTTATTGTGACGCACTGAAAGCAATATTGACGGATTTTATGTGTCAAACACACACTTCACGTCCTCATCTTGTAACTTACAAGTACTAATTATCAGTATACCATCTCATGATTTCATACTTCTGAAAAACATTTTTTATAGCAAGTGAGTGGAAGTAACCCTGATCTGCAGATTTTTCAGTCGATGTACGATTTACCCTATGAACTTTTCTAAAGTTCCTAAAGTTTCTTTAAAATTCTGTAAAAAATTTCTGAAGTACTTTATTTTTGCTCTAAAGATCTACGAACTTCCCTGAAGTTCAATAAATTTCTCAGTAGATCTCCGAATTTCTCTAAACATCTGTAGTTTTTTTGTGGATTCTTGGACTTCCATAAAGTTCTGCAAATTTATCTGAAATTCATTGAAATTCTCCTAGCTCTACGCTGAAGTTTTAAATATTCCTCTGAAGATTTACGAATTTCTCTGAAGTTGTGTAAATACTTATAAAGATCGGCGAGCCTTCCCGAAGTTCGGATGTGAGTTTCGCTGAAGTTTTGCATTTTTTTTTTCTAAAAATGTACGAACTTCCTGAAGTTTTTCAGACTTCTCTTAAGGTATACGGACTTCTCTGAAGTTTTTCAGATCTATCTATTTCCAACTTCCATGGAGTTCTGCAAAATCTTGGACTTTTGTACTTCGCTGCGATTTGTTTTCGGATTTGAAGTACTTTTCTGAAATTTTACCTTTTTTTCTGAAGAACTCACATTTTTTTTCCGAAACTGTGAAGCTTTCTGAACCACTTTAATGTCTCTGAAGATCTGCAAAATTTCTTGCAGTTCTGCAGATTATACATCTACTCTTCTGACGGTCTGCAAATATCTTTAAAGTTGTCTGAAGGGTCCGTAGTTCTATTCTCAAGATCTACAAAAAAAAAAAAAACTTGAGGTTCAATAAATTTCTTAGTTCATTTGCAAACTTCTCTGTTTTGTAAATTCCTCTGTAGGCTCTCGGGCTACCCTAAAGATCTTATTATCTAAAGTCCTCAAAATTTATCAAGATCTACAAATTTCCCTGAATCGTTTAAATATTTTTAAAACAATTGCCAAAATTCCCTGAAGTTCTGCTAATTTCACTGAAGATCCATTAAAATTTCTAAGATTCTAAAAATGTATCACAAAATATGCCCACTTTCTTGAAAGTTTTCAAATTTATCTGAAGATCCATGACCATTCTTTTGATTTTTCCGGAAGTTCTGTAGCTTTTTTTCTGAAGATCTACGATCTTTTCTGATGTTCAATAATTTTCCAGTAGATTTCCAAACTTCTGTGAAATTCTTTACATTTCACAGTAGATTTTGGACTTGTCTGAAGTTCTGCGAATTTCCCTGAAGATTTGCAAAATTTCACTTATAGTTTTACAAATGGATCTGAAAATATTTTAGCTTACTTGAAGTTTTGAAAATTTATTTGAACATTTATCGGAAGATCTACGATGTCTCTTGTGAATTTTTCGGAATTTCTGCAAATTTCTTTTAATGTTTGTAAAATTCTCTCTTCTGTTCTAAAGATCTACGAACTACCCTGAAGCTCAACAAATTCCTCAGTAGATCTCCAAACCTCTCCGAAATTCTAAAAAAAAATCTTAGCAGGCTCTCAGACCTGCTGTCTGGCATGCTTATTCTTGTATAATACATGCTTCGTATTATATAAACGCTATTTTGCTGACCATGCCATGATCAAAGCCATTACGGCATCTTTCGACCAATCACACTGGAAAATAAAAATTAATCTAATCATTATTAAATACTGAAATCAATTTACCTTGCTGGATGCCATCAAAGCACGAATCAAGCGTTTTAGCGGTTCAAATCCGTGAAATTTTAGAAAAAATAAATTAATATTTTCATCTCACTTGCGGCTATTTTGCTGAATGAGTCGAATGAAAATTAAATACAAACCTATTTCATTCGACAAATCAAACGCCAAATCTAATCAGCATGTCGAAAAAGTGTGAATGCATCCGAACATTGCATCCGACAAAATTTTTCGAGCAGTCCGCTCGAATCAGACCAACAAGTCAGATAGTCTAAACGTATCTTAAGGGTTCTGAACTTAGTGTTTAGATGTACTTCTACAGTTTTTAATTGAGAATTGAATTTGTATATTGTGCGTCAAGCCCAGACAAAAATTTACAACCCGAAAGATTTCCTCGACTGGACCGGGAAACGAATCCGCCGCCTCCGTCTTGGTAATATCATTATAGATTAGATTATCTGAGGCCCCCACCGAATCGGTTAAGAATCGCGAAAAAATGTCTTAAAAAGCAAAAATGAATGAGAATCACCAAAATGATTTTAAAATTGCAAAAATGGACCAGTCTAGACCTCCCATAATGGCATTTTAAAATGTAAAAAAATACTCAACCAAATGATAAAATTGCCTTAAAATACTAAAACGACAAAGCACCCTATGATAAAGAAAATGCATTTAAATCCCACAATGGTTTCGAAAAACCAAAATATTCATAATCATCCAAAGAATTTAAAATAAATTGCTAATTCCGCTTCAAAAGCTGCGGCTCTGTTTATTTAAAAGATTACTTTTCATTTTCTACTATGGCTATTACATCCCTACTGAAATTATACGCCTGCCCTGAACATAGCGTTCTTTGAGCACTTCCACAGTTCTAGATACAGCTGAAATTAGGACGTAACAGCTTTTGTGAACAAAGACTTCTTTCGATGATTTCTAGAAATTCAAGACTCGCCAACGCAAATTAACATCACCATCGGGTAGAGGAAGACTTCCTCTACCCGACGTTATGTTGGTTTGCGTGGGTTTGCCTCGAGAGAAGTCATTGTTTACAAAAGCTGTTACGCCCTAATTCCAGCTCTATCTAGAGTTGTTAGTTAAGAGCTTTTTTTGCCTTTGCCTGTTCCATTTTTTCATAAACAATAATGCTCTAAGTCCGGGGAAGTCAATACTTTTAAACCAGGAAAAAAACCCATAGTTCGGAGCGGACATCGAACCCAGCTACCTCCAGCCTAACAAATTCATGTAATTGATTAAAGCTTGATTTATTTAAAATAGAAAAGCATCCAAGTTTCACTGGAGAGTTTGTTGTACAGGTATTTACTATATGGTTAATTCTTCACAGCTAATTCATTCAGGATCTTCTCATCTGATAGTACCTAACTGCTTCCTCGAGGTATTGTGAATTCTCCTCCTCCTCTTCCTCATCCTCCTCTTCCTCATCCTCCTCTTCTTCCTCCGCCTCTTCCGGAAGCATTGATGACGCCTCCGGTTCTGTAATCTCCTCTTCACCGTCGTCGCTGTCCAAACTGATGGTTTCTACAGGATCCCATAAATGATAGCAGCGTACGAAAATCACCGAATCACTATCCTGTACCTCGGACGATTCCGCATCCATGGAAATGTGGACCCGTTTGGGCACCGGCCCTATATGGTGGGATAGTTTTCTCTTTCCGTTTGATTCTCTACGATGGTCGGGAGGTTTTCAAGCAAATATTTGAAGAAGTCGACTACAAAGCCGTGGCATACTTGATCATTAAAAATTTCCGCAACATTTCTCGTTGGTTTGTCGATTTCTAAAGTTAATCTGTAGGTACCGTAATTAAGTCCATAATCCCGCAACTTAATCAATTATGCAAGTGCAATCGTGCAAGATCATCCAATCGATTTCCAGTGATCAATTCCAACCGCTATGCAACCGGTCACTTCGGGAGTAACTTCAATTATTCTAAATACAAGATTTGATTGCGATCTCCCCCGTGCGGAATGTCGGAGGTTCCACTTTGACGTAACAACTTCGTTCAAACGACGACGACGACAACAGTGACGCCCACCGGGTAATGGATGATAGGAATTGTACAATCAAGCCCTCCTCCAATCGCCGTTGAAGATCTTGTAAATCGTTATTAGATTCCTCGACGCCAGCCAGAGCCCAGTCAATCAACAGGTGTTTCGATTCCAATTAGTCACGGCTCCTTGCGAACGACTCTTAGAGGCGGCTCCGTTGGCTTATCTAGAACACTTATCTAGTTTACAGCTTGGACAAAATGCCTCCCCCCTCTGGGGGTCAGTTTACTGAATTACTGGCGGGAAAACCGTTCGACTTTCACTTTGCTTACACACAGTTGCTACCGAGGACTATTTTTTATAGTTGATTAGTCATGTTGAGAATATTACACCTGCCTACGGTTCCAGGCTGCGCGCGAGAAAGATGAAGTTAGGTAATCGAAGTGACGAAATGTCAACTCATCACGGTTAACAGCAAGTGACACAAGTCGTGTGGCGCTCTTATGATTGGCATATTTAATTGCTTCAATAATGGTTGTCAACGTCAAAGTGTCGTTCGATTGATTTGGAGTGGGATTTAAAAGCAGCAAATCTAGAGAATATTCACGTTAAGACCAATTTACTTCGACACCGGGACGTGTAGTACGATACTCTTCTTCAATAGTAAAGTATATGTGGATCCAATTAAATAGTCTCGTTCTATTCCAGTCAGATTTTACAACTTGAGGGGAAATTGGGCGAAATGGATCATTCATTGAGGTCGGTCCAGGATAAGACCATCACCATTCGATTCTCTAGACATGTTTACAATGTCATAATGCAAGAGAGTGTAGTATTAATGACGTCAATGGACATAATCGTCTGAGATATGATTTATGTCTAGATTTTTTTTAAAACTAGTTCGTTTATTTGGAAGGCTCAATCGCGTTAGCTTTACGGAGCCGATAGCATTGATCTTTGTTTGTAACAAAATTCACTTAATTCCATGTCTAGTAGGAGTTAGGCCGAATACTCACGGCCTACCCGAGGTTATAGAGGTACATTGTCGAAGGATAGGATCAGGGGAGGATCTTGGGGGTTAGGTTTCGTTGTCTCATCTGAGCGTTGTCGCCAGTATGAACGGTAGTGCGGTTCTAGTTTCGTCTGGAGTGCGACCGGCTAGGATCGGCTATTATGTCTAGCATAATCACTTAAAACTTAAAAACTCAAATCTCATGCGACAATTTTTTCGGCTATGATTTTTGCTTCACCGATGAGTTTTCTGGATCAAAAATTAATTGCTTTATATTTTGGCCTTATTCATTGTTATAACCGTGCATGAACAACGAACAAAACATGCATAAACATGCTAACAATTCTCGCGCAACACGAGAACAGGGCCTATCATTGTTGATCGATTCTCTTCATCGATTTTCTCTTTGGCGAATATTCCGACTGCAAATGAATTTCCCATTCAGTGTGTTGTTTCAGGCGCAAGCTAGCATCATTTTCTGTCGAACTGTGCTTCGAACTTAGAGAGTTTACCATGGTAAACCAAAGAGAAAGTCGATGAAGAGAATCGATCAACGAGGATAGGCCCTTTTCAAATGTTACGCGAGATTTAAGGTTTGAGTAGTGTTTATGAGTTTAAAAGCTGGAATTATTTTTTGGCGTTGTGAGTGTGCGTGCGTAAAAATGCATGAGAATCTCATGATTCGCACGCGAGTTTATTCTCTCAGGGATGCTCAATTAATGAGACTTGAGAATGATTTTCCGAATCCTGATGATCACACAGTATAATATCACAATATGATGTGGGTGCATTGTCAGTTTAATTTATCAATTATCTACTGTTTAAGAAGAAATTGAGCAAATCTTCTTCAAAATTTGGTTCGAACTATTCCTCAAGGAACTCAATTCAAGCTAAGCATTGCATTAGGTCCAAAGTAACATAGACCGATTCTCTTCGTCGACTTTCTCTTTGTATCTTCAAAGCCATGTAAAGACATTCCCAGGTATTTTCAGCACACAGATCTGTAAAAGAAGCTTTTATCGAGCATCTAATACGACAAACACAACAAGAAACGGTTATGTGCTCAAGTTACTAACGAAAGAGAAAGTCGACGAAAAGAATCGAGCGATATTACTTAGGACCTAATGCAATGTTCAGCTTGAATTACTTTAGATTTTTCCTCAGAATTTACTGAAAACTGTCCTCAGAATTTCTTTGGAATATACCTTCAGAATAACCTTTAAATACTCGTCCTTCCCTTAAAATTCTCTTCAAAACTTGTTTTGAATTGTAGCCAAGACTCTCTTGAAATTCTCCTCCGAATTCCTTTCAAGTACTCCAGGAATTTTCCCTCATTTAATTGTATTCTACATTGGTATACCGTAGGTATTCTATGAAAATTTTCATGAAATTAAACATTGGATTCGTTTCTATATACTTTAAAATTTATTGAAATTCTCCTCAGAGTTCCCTTTCCAAGTAGCACGTCAAATTTCTATTGTAAATTCATTCAGAATTCCTTAGAGATTGACTTTAGATATTCCTGTGAATTTTGTTTAAAATTCTGAATAAGATTTCCTTGGAATTCTACTCGGAACTACCTTGGAGTTCCTCAGAATTACCTTGAAAGCAATCCTCAGCTGTCACTTGAAGTTTTCCTAAAAATTCCAACTCTGGAACATCTCATCAAAGTTCAGGAGCCAGGAAATTTTAAAAGGTTTTTTTTCATATCTGGCATCTTGCAAAATGATAAATGAATACTTATCTTCCTTCCTCTTCCAAAATTTCAAGCCTCAGTATGGATAAAATGTATGTTTTTACTGAAGATCAATCCGCTCCGGAATTTTTGAGATCAATGAGTAATACAAAATTACGAGGAAGATAAACTTGATTGCATTGTACAATGTTTGAAATTTCTGAGAAATTTGTTTGACGTTTGAAGTATATTCTATGCTTCAAAATTAACTTCGTTAAAGAAGATGAAATATCCCTGAGTAACGATGCAATTCCACCACAGTTCGAAAAAGCAGTGTAAAATTCTGTTACTATGATGCACATGATGCGTGTAACCCAAGTGATATATTCTGGGTCAACACTCGATATTTTCTGCAAAACGTATTAGTTGACCATTATATAGCCACCCACGATTTGTACAATCGCATATGCTATGATGCACATGATGCGTGTAAATTTATGAGATTGATTGTATGTAACCGTCCATCTTTGTAAGCAACATTTCTTGCAAGTTACTAGTTTACATGAAAAGGAAATTTACATACATCAATGTTTGCATGCATGGATGTTAACATCACGTGTAGAACTAAGATTTTTTTTGCGTAAAGAGCAAATCGAAACATTGAACGTCGCGTGAAAGTAGAACTTAATGAAAGCCTCAGTACTCTTTTGTAGCTTTTAGTTTTAGGATTTGAAAGATCGTCGCTTGCAGTGGCTTGTTTACTGAGCAGAAAAACGCGGTCCCAGGTCCTTTCATATTAAAAAGGTATGATAAGATCGCTTGTTTATCGTGTATTTTGTAAAACTTTTCATCGGTAACAGGTTTGAATAGTTATAACAACTTGAATAACGGTATTATGTGATATGAGGGGCTCGGTGGCCTTAGAGCAATCATTTTTGCTTACTGAGCAGAACATCATGAGTCAAATCTCAAGCCCATCCACATTCAAGATTCGTCAATCGTTTTATTTGTTAACATGACTAGATGGTAATAACAGCAACTCGATGATTAAAAAGGAGCTCGTCTGCCTAGTGGCAAACATTTTTGCTTACTGAGCAGAAGACCGTGGGTTCAATCACAAGCTCCTTCGCGTTATATGATTGTTAGGACATCAATTCAGCTTATCGTTTACCAAAGCGAACCCTGTTGCAAACCTAACCCTATTACCCAATATCCCAGTGATTCCTCGTGGAAGTGCAGAGGTGTTCTCGGCTTCCATCAAAGCGAGTGTCACGTCAACACATTCCTACCCATTGCTTTCTTGACCTGCGTTCGGGCGCGGCCGGCGCAGGTATTGCCTAGTATTGCCAGTTTTTACACATTGAGGATGATTGCTAGTCCCAAGCATCGTCAATTGGTTCTCTGTGTAAGTACAGCTGATCTGACAATAACAGAGTAGCAACCGTGGGCGGTCAATCATGCTCATGCTTACAAGTAATAGAAAATTGTGAGGACGAAGAAGTTGATCGCATTGTACAATGTTTGAAATTTCTGAGAAATTTGTTTGACGTTTGAAGTATATTCTATGCTTAAAAAATTGCTTAGTTGAAGAAGATGAAAATTCCCTGGGTAACTATGCAATTCCACCACAGTTCGAAAAAGTAGTGTAAACTTCAGTAACTATGATGCACATAAATGGAGCGTCATATATCATACAAGTTCACATTATCGATCGTGTAGATTTATAGGACATGTTATGAAATATTCCATATAGGGGAAATGGATGTAATGTCGGCCTAAATTACCCTAATTTGGGCCCATACATAAATTCAGCAATCGACTAAATTTTCAATAGCGACCAAAAATATCCATTAGCATCGTCCCAATGACGCGTTTATCTAGATAAAATTGATAAATAGCAGATTTTTTAAGTTTAATTAAAAAT